TGATGTTGCTACGACTGGCCAATCTCCACAGCAGTCATTAGAGGATAAAGCAGGGTGATGAAGAGGCCATTTTAGCACAGAATATTGGATCTGCGAGGCCTGTGTCCAAATCTTAGTTCTGCACCGTCTTCCATGCATTTCCTTTCTCCCAGCCTAACAACTGGCATCTAAGGGTTGTTGTGGGGGAGGAATGCAGCAGTGTGGTGCAATGGTTAGCGTGTCAGACCACAAGAGAGCAAACCAGTCTCCATCAGCCAGTCCTTCTTTCTCACCCTGACCGACCACGCAGGATTGTTGTGCAGATAATATCCCTGGTGGTGGGGTGATCCAGATGTGCCTCCCTCCAGAGTCCCCTAAAGAAATAACAATGATCAAATTCAACAACTGGCTTTTAAAAACACTGAGTACATTCGTATCATTTGATTTGCGCTACTAAAATCCATTTGTCTGGACCTGGCAAACTTTTCTTGCATTTTCTGTGCAAGCGTGGTTTGTGCCACTGTGTAACCTTCCCCTTTTTGGGAGCTGGTGACAGGGCTGGCCCATCCTTTCTAGGAAAGCTCATCAGCAAACACGAACACACACAGCCTCCTTTCATTTTCCGATTTCTTCCCTAACCACACCACATTATTCAGGAACTGGGCCTGCAACTGAGGGGCTGGAGGGGGAGGGGGAAAGAGCCATTAAGTAATTGAATTGTAACGATCTGGTTTATTCTGGCGCTTGCCATGTTATTTCACTATAAAATTTCTCAAGAAAAGTAAACAAGTTCCCTCTCGGAAGGGGCTCAGCGGAGAGAAGCCACTGCGTTTTCTGCCGTCTGCCGTCCGGTGTTCTTGTCAGGGGTCACCTCTGCCATGCCAGCAGATCGCAGTACGCTTCCCCTGCTTTTCCTGCCGGCTCACTTGCTTCCGTTCGCAATTGTTATTGTCGCCGTTGCGTGCAAAGGAGAAACCGCCTGCCCGGTTGCTGTCAGACTAGTCGGCCCTGCGCTGGTCCTCTGTAACGTCAGGAAGATGCGGAGACATCCCTTGCCACTGTCCCTCTCTCATGCAGCCCTGAGCCCTGGGAGACACACTAGGATTTCTGCTCCCCGCGTGGCTTTCCAGAAGTACAGGGTCTGGGGGAAGAAGCTGAGCCATCCTGCTTGCTTGCTTGGATGGCACCAGCTGGCTTTGTTTTTCCTCCAGAGCATTGGACGTTGTATCAGTCCAGGGAAACACAGGAGGGAATGCCACCTAGCACCTTGAACCTTGAACAAGGACGAAAGGCAAATGCAAAATTGCAGGTGACCTGCAGCTTCTGGCCAGAGGAGTTTTGCCTCCCGCTTTGGAAAACGTGAAAAAGAAAACCTTGCTGTTGTGATGCACCAACTTGCAGGGATATGCACATTGTGAAAAGGTTGTTCTGCCCTGGATTTGTGGCTACTGCTGTTACTTCTGCTCCGTTATCTGGGAATTTATCCCAATGCATCTGCACATGTTCACAAAGACTTGGCCACCCTGAAATGTGAAAGTTGACCAGTGTTTTTAAAAAATTTGCAGACTTTCCTGCTGCTAAGTTGGAGCAAAAATACACAACGTAAGAATTGGTGTGAAAGAGTGTTTTGATGATGCTGTGCTTCTCGATGGCCTGAAGTGCCTGATCCGACCTACCCTGAGAAGCTAAGTGGGGTCGGACTTGTTTGGAATCTGGATGGGCGACTTGAGAGCATGATTCTATGATTATTGTTGACAACTGTCCAAAGAGCAATTGGATGAGAGCAAGCAGTTCTCCCAAAATTTGCAGAAATCTACCAAATAGATGAGATAGGGGCTGACAGAGAGTGCAGAATTGGTGAACTGGTCCTAAAATTTGAACTAAATGCATTTCTCTTCTACCCTTACATTGGCTTAATCCCTAGTATAACTAGTATAAAAAAGATCCAGGAGCAGGTAATGTCCTTGCCTGAGACTTGGAAAGTTCCTGCCAGTTAGAGGGAAAAGTGGTTTGGCTTGTGGTGGGGAACCTCTTGTTCTTCATACGATGGTGGAATCCAGGGCAAAGAGCCAGGAATTATGGGAAATGGAACCCAGCAACATCTGGAAGGCCACAAGTTGGTCTTTCTGATAGTTTCTGAAGAATGGCAGTCCTTCAAGCAACCCCCAAAGGCAAGGAGGGGGATAAAAATGCAGGCAGGAGGCTGGAATATCAGAAATGTCCCTCATAAAGATGGAACAGCTGGAGCATAGTGCTTTGTAAACGTTTGGCTAATCTGAAGACCCAGAAAGGGATTTCTCCCCACCACCACCCTTCCACAAGGAATTGTCCCCTGCCCTGCCAGAAGAGAAGACTGGAGGTGATATGGTAGCCCTCGACATGTACCTGAAAGGTTGTCACAAAGAGGAACGACAGGATCTCTTCTCCATTCTAGAGTGCAGGACAAGGAATAAAGGACTTAAAAGAAACCAGATGCAGAGCGGACACCAGGAAAAGCTTCCTCACTGTCAGAGCAATGCGACAGTGGAACCAGCTGCCCAAGAGGTGGGGGGCTCTCCCGCACTGGAGACATTCAAGGAGAAACTGGGCAGCCCTCTGAGTGGGATGGTATGACGTGGTGTCCTGCACCAGCAGGGGTTGGACGGGATGGCTTTCTTGGCCCCTTCCAGCTCTACTGCTCCACGATTCTTCCAGCCTGTGCCCGGAGTGAGGACTTCTGCTGATGGAGAGGGACTTCATCCCTCCTCCAGCTTGTCTTCCCTCTAGCTCATCCTGGCATTTCATTGACTGGAGCAGAGAGCGTGTGTTCGTCTGCAGGGGCCCCTTTTGCCTGAGCTGCTGCCCACGCCATATGGGCTGTGCGTGGGTAAACAGAGGCCCCAGCCTCTGGGGCTGTTCACTGGGAAGCGCACGTCCTTGCTAAACTCTGTGTTTCGCAAGTGTCATTTAAGAACAAAACAGAGAACAACACCAGGGCTTGGAGACTCTCTCGTGTTGGCAGCAAGCCACCAAAATCAGTCGGACGTTGCCAGCAGTTAATTTGGTTCATTGTTATTTTCTGTCCCTGTGCAGAGGGGGTTCTGTGTGCACCGTATGCGTGGGCTTGCTTTTATTTATTTATTTTTATGCTCTGTGTGTGTGTGTGTGTGTGTGCGCGCACGCGCGTAGATACATGCATTTGAAAAGAAAACACAGTAAAGGAAATAGCTTGGGAATGTTAGGGTGACACCAAAAGAGGAGGAGGAGGAGGAGGAGGAGGAGGAGGCGATAGTAGACTTATACTGTGGAATAAAGGGGTATTCATTTCCATTTCATGGAGGTGGTACACATTCTTTATGTGCCATGGGTCCCTGGTTCAATCCCTGGAAGCTTTTGTTGAAAGGATCAGGGAAGGAATGACAGGGTTGGGTTTTGCCTGAGAACCTGGAGGACCAATTCTAATCAGACTGGTACAAGCAAGATGCACGCACGCTGGATCAGGTCTAAGGCAGCTTTGAGGAATTCCAGAGGTGAGACAGGAGCTATGAGTTACAGACAGAGAAGAGGCTTGGTTGCTGTTTTTCTTAAGTCACAGTCCTGTGCATTGTGCTTCCGCATAGCTTGAAGTTCCTGATCCTGCCTCATCTTGGAAGCTAAGCAGGGTCTGACCTGGTTGAAATTTGGATGGGGGACTTATATGTTGTGAACTGCCCAGAGAGTTTTTGCCATGGGTGGTACAGACATGTGATGCAATTATTGTTGTTATTAGTTCATAATAGCAATAATAATATGCATGTTTTGGCAAAAAATCCCTTACATGCCCCAGGCACCTTAGTTTCTAATTTTTCCAGTATTAGGTTCCATTCACGGTACACATTGCAGAATTTTTCCAATTCAACGTTTGATTCGATCTGTTCCAAAAGTTATGGTTTCTTTTCACATCCTGTGTATTATGTGTGAATGCATCCGTCTTTGTCCAGAATTTTGAAAAATGCATGTTTTCAAGCAGGAAGTTATTTTAACTGGTATCAACATATAAACACATTTGTATGTGCTCCTGTTGTGATGTGCACATTTGACAGATCCTAGTTTTGAAGGAGTGCTGAAGTTTGGTTCCCCTACTGGCTGTTTATAAAGCTTTTTACGAAGGAAAGTCTTAATCTGGGAAAGAAATAATTGCCATGCCCCCTTCTTCTAAAACAAAAAGGTAACTATAAATCAATGGAGGAAAGATGAGGGGGAAAGGGAGCAAAGTCAGTCATGATCTTCTAGCAATGCGTTGTTGACCCAGGTTGTTGCACACTCCAAATGGAGCCCTCCAAACACCACTTCCCCAAGCATTAGCCTTTGCTAATTTGCTTCAGATCACTTGGAAGGCACCAGCTGAGGACAGTCTTCTCAAAACCGACCCACTGATTCTTTCAGGCATTTCTGGAAAATGGAAGTAACCATGCAAATTTTGGTATCTCTTCCGAGATATCGGCCCCATTGAGGCTGGTGGATTGACTCACAGGCAGATGTGTATAAGATGGCAGCCAAAGTTTAACTTGCGTCACCTCAAACTCCTGCCGACCAACTGCGAACCGTGTGAGAGATAAGGGCACATCAAGAGCTGTTCCAGTCACATATCAGTGGTCTACTTTTCCATGCCAAAACTCCAAGAGTTGCTGACAGGCTTGTGAAAATGTGTAGCTCCCAAACCAGCTCCGATACATGTGTTAGCAATTCACCGTCTCTCTCCTTGCCCTTTGCCAACCCAGTATTTGACAAGAAGTGTGTGTGTGTGTCACTGGTGGGGGGGATGGATTATGAAAACCAGACGTTGGTGGAAGCAGAACACATAATACCAAGCCAGTAAATCCATGCAAAGGTTTCTAATCTACATTATTTAGTCTTAGGGCAAGAGCTTGGGTTTTCCAAGGGCACTGCTCCCATTTCTTCATTAGGTCCAACCAGGCATCACCACGGAGCTTTGTTAGCAAGAAAGGGTGTTGGTGTTCACCGTTTTTATTTACTCCTTCCCTCCCTCCCTCTTCCTGCAGATGAGCCAAGCAGGTGTTATTTCCATGATGGCGACGGCATCTGTGAAGAGTTTGAGCAGACAACCAGCATCATGGACTGCGGGGTCTACACACCCAAAGGGTTCCTGGACCAATGGGCCTCCAATGTGTCCGTCTCACATCATGATGAGAGATGCCCAGGGCAGGTGGTGATTGGTCAGCCAGCAGCAAATCAGGTAAGTGGCAGAGATGGGCCTTGTATATATGCAAGAGGGCAGCTGCACATCTAATCCAGTGGTAGATCACCTTTCTTCATGCAGAATTCCCTAAATTCATTTCCCATCAACTTCAAGCAACAGTAGGTCGTGCTCTCCATCTGAAATCCTGGATAGCCCCTCCTACATTAGATAAAGGCCCCTGTTGTGTGTTTGTCTGATATTTGTTTGTCCCGCTAGGTCTTTGTTTTCTGCTCTCAAGTGTATGCATTAATAATATTAGTGCTATGATCGAAGTGTTCAAATGGAGAAGAAATGTGTTGGGTTCGGACTAGAATGGACTTGCTTCAAAAATCTTTCAGAATTGTGCAGTGCGATTTGCAAGTCAAAATTGGCACATGAAAATATGCATGTTACAGAAAAAGCATGCATTGGAGGAACACATTTATGCGTGCAAATTGCATGCATTAGGGGGAAATCCTGCAAGAATGTTACATTAGGGGAAAATTGCCTTTGGAAGATGTGTGCGCAAAACTATTAGGGGAAAGTAGGCATGGGAAGATTATATTCGGTGGAAGCAGCAGGTCGAAATGTGCATACATGCATTTGTCGATTTGGAAAAGTGCATTCAGGAAAATGTGCATGAATAATTTCATGGAATTTGGGGAAACAAGGTCACCCCCTGGTATGGAAACAAGCTAGAACAAGCACTGGGTCAAAAAAACAAGTGATTGAGTGAAACCCAAATGGACCCATCCCTACGTAACATTGGGTGTTCTTATACACGTATCATTGCATGCCCGTTGTGACTGCCAGCGCCCTTCCATGATTCCAGCAGACTTTTCCTCCCCAAAGTCTACCAGGGGAGTTTGTTCCATTTCAGAAATGTATGGCAATTTGCAAACGCACAATTCCAAGTGGCGCAATTTTCACATTCAGTGGCTGTTTGCTTTGCATAATTTTCCCATCCTCACAAAATGAGCAATGATTGGAAATGCTACTGTAGATCATTGGGAGCTTGGTTGGAAAGTGTGTGGAGCATTATCGTCCTGGAGAAGTTATCCAAGCCACTTAAGGTTCTGAAAAACACGCAAGTTCGCTTTTACTTAGCTTTGGAGGAATTATATATTGTCCACACACAGTATTTTAGGGTGAGAGGATGGAAATGATAAGAAAAAAATTGCAAAAATGCATAAACCAAGCAGAAGCAAGAAACCAGTTGATAGTCAGCGTATCTTGGTCAGCTTAAGTATTTTTTGTTTCCCCAATGGGCCCACCCTGTTCCGCACGGGGCCAACCGAGTAAATTACTGATTGCAGTGTACTGCAGGCATGCCACATGAAGGGTCCGTAAGTGCATCTATAAAGTGTTGGAGTATATTGATGTATTGTTGAGCAGCATAGTTTTTGCTTGCTGTATCAGATGTTATAAGGCGGCCTTCCCCAGCCTGGTACCCTCCCTATGCTTTGGACTACAAAGCCCAGCAGACCCAGCTCGCACGTGTAGTGATAAGCAGTTTTGGAGTTGTAGCTGAAAATATATGGCAGTCAACAGGTTTGGAAAGGCTATTCCAAGGTCTGTTCTCTAACATGTGCCAGTTCACTTAAGGAAAAATTGCTTAAATTTCCAGCAGTTGTGCTATAAATAACCAAGGAATGTATGAGTTCTTTATGTGTGTGTGCGTGCGTGTGCGTGCGTGTGTGTGTGTGTCAGAGAGAAAGACACAGAGAGAGGGTGCATTTTTCTTGAACAAGAGCAGCAAAAAATAAAAAAGCCTTTCGCACTGGGGAGAAAGTAAGCCATTGCAGCGGGATCCAGGAACGTGAGAGATGTGCCCAACCTGGGAGGAACGGAAGGGAAGTTGTAACGAGAGGGCCATGTGACATGCCAAAGCACAGGCAGCCCCCTTCTCTCAACAAGGTCACTCTGGAGGAAGCAAATGGCTTCTCAAGGATAGCAGGCGCATTTCCTTTCTCCTGCTCCCCAATTCCAGAGCACTGTGTTCATTGGCAGTGCCAATCCTTGTGGGATTTCTCTTCCCGAGGCCTGTTTATGCATGGAAATCAAACCATGGAACAGAAACAGGGACTCTCCCATAACTCAAAGCCTGGGGGTTAATTGCGAACATAACTGTGGATGGGGAGTGACAGGGGCTAAAACTAAAGTCCTCTTCCTGGGCGTTCATGGAATAACGAGAAAAATCTGAAATATGTTCTGTCCAGCACAGTGTTTTTTCTCTGGTTTGGTTGTTGGTTCTGAAAGGCCCACCTTATATATACTTCTGTTTCAGGAAGATTTGGGTCTTGACAGTGCTGTTCTCTGGGTGTGTTTGGGTCCCCAGTTGGCCACCCCTGCCCCTTCTCCAGTATGTCACATCTCTGAAGGCCAAGGGGGCCTCACCCAAAGTACCCACTCCCAGTCTTCACGTGTTCACTGGAAGCCCAGGACAGCATCTGCTCGAGGTGCTCGGAAATGGCTTGCTAACTCTTGTAGCCCATAAAAATGGTGGTGGGACCTCTCCGCAGATCGAGGGAGAAGGCTTTCAAGAGGAGACTGCCTTGCTCGAATTCCCGAAGCGTTGGTGTGCTGACAGCTGCCATGTTTGATTTCCCAGAAAGCCTCATTCCAGTCGCCCTTCAGCAAAGAGCTGGGAATGACCGTCTTCATTAGGGGAAGGGTCATAGTTCAGCAATAGACCACATGTTTTGCATGTGGATGTTCCTCACTCCGATCCCTGGCATCTTCAAGTTGGACCAGAAATCCTGCTAGTGAAAACCCCAGAAAAGCATCAATAGTTAGTGCTGGGGTACTGAACTGCATGGTTATCGGGTCTGACTTGGTAGATCAATTTCCTATGTCCCATTCTCCCCTCCACTGGTGTCCCTCAGAAATTCAGCATGACAGCTCATGGCTCATCACACTTTCAACACACAGCAGCTTTCTGTTCCATTTCCCTGAAATTTGCAGCCCTTCTGGAATAGGGAAATGAGGGGATGAATTTGGCGCCCCAGGCAATTCTGCCCTACACTGACTACTGGTGCATGGGAAACTTGCTTTTCCAGAATTCCTGAATATTTGGACAGAGGACTATACAGCAAATTCTGATGCGGGGTATCATGTATGATCTTGCTTCTCCTACCACATGTTTCACTGAGCACCTGTTTTCCAGTCTAGTACATTGTGTCACTAGCTCCAGACTTCATAGGGTGGAAAGTCATCCTGCTTTCATGCATGAAACTCATCACCACAAGTGCAAAGACTCCTGGATCTTATTTAAATGGCAGTTTGTGGTTGGATAGGAGTGTGCAGGAAACTCACTGCAATTCATTTTTAAAAATTGGTTTTATTTATTTACTACACTTGTGTACCATCTACTAGCCAAAGCAATCTAATTTAGAACTTAAAATACAGTATAAACATTTAATAGTTAGGACTGTCTCCCCTATAAAATAAAAGGGGAAACTGCAGTAAAACCTAGTAGCAGCAGAAAGTTTTAAAGTGCAATACAGAAATTAAAATAGCATGGGATGAGAATTCCTGGGAGAATCCCTGACCAGATAAGGAATCTGCACCTTCCGGATCAAATGTGGACTCAAACTTGATCCAAGGTCAAAGCACATGATGTAGAGGGTGATGCACAGAGCAAAAGTGCTGCATTCAACGGCAACATGTGTGTGAACGATGCGCACTTTTGGAAAATGCACGCAAAAATGCTTCAGACACACGAGAATCTGGATGTATTCTGGGAAAAAACAAAGCTTGCAATCAGAGATGGACTCGAGTCTGAATGAGCTTTGAGGTGGACATTGGAGAACTTCTGTAAGCTTGAGTCATGCTGGTTCACGTATCTGTTGTAGGACAGCAAGACAGGGCTGTTCTCATGCTCTGAAACTCCCGGTCAGGAAAGCTGGGTCAGCTCTCTCTCTCTACTGCCTTCAGCCAGTGAGCACACTTCTTTTTTAAATACAAGCAGCCCTTTGACATGTAAGCACATCCCAAGGCTGATGAGGGTTTTCATTGTTAAATGCTGGATATTTTTGTGTTTATTGTTGTGTTTGTGTACATAGTTGTTTTTATGTTTTAGTGTTAGCTGCCTTTTAGCAGAAAGGTGGGATGTATGCTAAATAAATAGAGCTGGTGGGCATAAATCAGGGAATGGTGGTGGTAAGGATGCGGAGAGATCCATATTGTCAGTGGGAATCCTATGGATTCTTTGAGCTCAGCTCCTTGGACTGGTGCATTTTGCTCTAGCTTTGCGACCAAATTCTTGGCAAGCATTCCCAGTATTTGCACAACGTTTGCCAGGAATCCTTTCCTGAGCAACTGCTGTCAGAAGAAGGTTGCTGGTGGCAGAAGCTTCACTCTGCACATGCTAGAGAGGGAGGTTCTCCAAAGCTTCATTGCAACACAAGGCTGCGATTGTGTTTATACAACAGCTTTTGAACTTTCTAGCAGCCAGTGAAAGAAGCTGTATGCTGAGTGAAGTGGACTTTTCATTTCATCTAACAGAGTTCTCCTCGTAACTCCAATGCGGGCGTCGAAAAGGAACTTCTGGACTTCCAGATGGTGTTGGAGCTGTGGCTGATGGGGATTGCAGTCCAACAACATCCAAAGCATCTTACATGTTCCTCCGAGGTCCCTGAAGTCAAGAGTTTGGCATTGCCTTGGCATCTTCCAACAGAAAGGAGCACGTTTTTGCCAGCCTCCTTCACCGTGTTTGGTGCTTGCAATCCTAAGTCATTGATAAACATGGCTGAAGCAGGTTTGGAGTGAAGTTGCATCATAACCACAGGGAAGATGTCAAAGCAGATTCCAGGCAATTTCACTGAGCAAGGAATGTGCTTTCCCCACCAACTTCCTCTTGGTTTTGGGAATGAATTCTCCCTCCTCTCTCCCTCTCAATCTCTCAAGAGTCATTTAAGGGAAAGAATGGAATAAGTACCAAGTGAGCCAGTACACCCTGTTCTGCATGTGTGTGTGTTTGTACTGTACAGAAAAATAGATAAAAGAAACAGAAGACA